ACTTTTACCATTTCCTTCTCTAATAATTATAAGAGCTAATACTCTATACATTCTATAAAAGTTCCTGTCACATTAAATACACATTTAATAGGTGGGAAACAGAAATAGAGTAGTAGGACAATAGTAACTGTACAACAGTAGTCTGTAAATAATAAGAGATATTTATATTCATTTGAATATATCTGGTTCTGCAAACTAATTAACACAATTTTTAGTCTAGTTTCTACTTTTCATACTCCTCTACTTTCTTCAAAAGATAGTAAAGTGTGTCAACATTAATGTTATCTTTACTATAAGTATCTGTACTTTCATCAAACATTCTCTGATAAAATTTTACAACCTCCTCCTTTTCCTTCTTCAGTTTCCTCATTTCTTCCTTACATTTATTATTAGTAAGCTTAGTAATTTCATTGTAATACTTCCTCATTTTATAAAATGTCTGATGAGCCATTAAGCTAAGTTTTGTATTATAAAGGTGATTACAATATTTCTCAACACCCTCCTTTACTAGCTCTATATTAAATATCTTAATCAAATAGTTAAGCAGTTGAATCTACAGCTCAAGTCTCTAAGAATAATCCTGTAGATTATCTACCACATTCATTATTTTATTATATAGGATTTTGACTTCTCTGTCTCTAGTTTGGAAAATCCTCTTTACAGGACACAGTGAGTCACAACTGTCTGTTCTACTATATTTTAGTATAGTACTCATAAGAATAAAAAGTGTTACAGAGAAGGGGAAGTAGATACTGTTATATATAGTGTTTATAGTCTCTTAAGTACAAATAATAAAGTGTAAAGCTAGGAGTATATGTTACTAGTACTTTAGTACTTATATTACAACCTTACAGATTTATTTAAAGTTTTGTAAGACTATCTCCTAGTTAGTCAGACAATATTCCCTAAAGTAATTACTTAATGTTAATAATTAGAGTTTTACAGAAACATCTGAATGTAAGGAGTAAATCTGATAATATACTGTTCTAGCCTTATATACTAGTATAATGATCCAATTTGTGTTTCTACACCCCTCTTAACTATGGGTGCCTGACAACTCTGTGAGTTTATTTACATAAATTTTCAATTAGTTTAAGTGTCCAACCAAAGTACTTCCAAACTCTAACACTTATCTATGTGTATTAAAAGTATTCCCTTTTACTAATTATTAATAAGTGGCCTAAATAAACAGTAGTATATTAGAGAAAAACTAATGTGAGTAGTTTAATGTTGAGTACTTGTTAAGTAGTATAGAGTATGTCTACTTATAATAAATATTTTACACATGATAACTGTGGATAGAACTATATAGAAGTCTTTAACAAGGAAGAGATATACTTATAGTATATTTGTAGCAAAATACATTTCTAACAAAATACTTACTATATTAAATTATTAGTTTATTCTTTTATTCTAAATATTTGCTACTAACTTATCCATTATACTAAAAGCTACCAAGTGTATTAAAGACTCCTTTTACTAGTCAATTCTGAATAACTAGTAAAAAATATTAGTATCTTAAAGAATAATTTTAAATTATTATTCTTTAAATATGTTTATATTTTATTTTAACTTATATATATAATTTCTGTACAGTACTAGAGGAAAATACATTCTTATGTAATGCTTGTCAACACTAGTGTAGCAATGTTAACCATTACACTAAAAGATCAGTATAATTACTAATTAGTGATTCATACTCTATACTATATATAAGTACATATTACTAAATTAAGGAACTGTCTAGTACAGTAGCCTTTTACATATAGTAAGCTATTACTATACTAGGCTTACATCTTAGTATAAATATAGTATTATACAAGTCTAATAATATACTTACTGTATTAAATAGTAAATTAATTAGTACTTCTTGTTTTATGTTAATAGAAAAAGTCTATATAACTTAATAAAATGAATTTTGAACTTATACTTAAAGTATTAGACAGAAATAAATAGTAAAAATGAATAGTAGAATAGTAATACTTTAAGACTAACAAAAGTTACTTATATTAATATGAATTTATTTATCTTTGTTAACTATCTAATAGAATTATTGTATTACTCTTTTCTTTCTATAATAGTCCTCTGTCTTCTTTAAAAGTTACTAAAGTATATTAGGGTTATTATACTCAAATGCCTTTGTACTATTTTTGTTTATCCCCTAAGTGATTCTTTCAGTAAATTTGTCAATATCTACCTTCTCTGAACTTAATTTTGTCCTTTCTTTATTGAAATCTTCAATTGTTACTTTGATAATTTTACTATAGTAGTTCTTAAATTTTTTGACTGTTGAGAAAGCTAGCTGAATAAGGTTTGGATCAGTACATTGTATACTACACAATTTAATACTGTCTCTCAATGGTTGCAATTCAAAAGTATTGATCAGAGTATTAATATGTTTAATCTTTGTCTTGAGTTCTGTAGAAAGTTCTTCTAAACTTACTATTTTAGTACATATTTTATAATACTGTTTAAAGACTTTACAGTTATCAGATTCATGTCTCTTCTTTGTGGAACAGGACAAGCTGCAGCTGGCTGTTTTAGTGTGCTTCAGTATAGTACTTTTAGTAGTAATAAACAATAGTATTAAGGGGTAGGCAGATTCTTGTAAACTTGGTGTAATCTTTAAATAGTGTAATATTAACTAGGAGACACAAAAATGGTTACTTGTCAAGGTTGATGATTAGGATTTGATAGCAATGTATGATTATAGTAATTCAATTTGCTACTATTTTGTCTGATTGTCTATCTGTGATGACCTAATATTAGTGTTTATACTAACTTAACTATGTTACCTTTATTTACTTTGTACAATATTTTTGTACAGTACAAAGTTGACAAAGGGTTGGCAGAACATCTATCATCCCTGATGATAGTAAGGTGAAAAGGATAACAATCCTGTAACATTGTGTCAGGTTTCTGCTGGAAGAAGGGTGAAATTATATTGTGTCTATTGAAATTTAGTACAATTACCACAATACATATGGAACAATAGACAACATGTCTTCCTTGCATAGTCAATCATGCTCCTCCTCTACAGTACATAATAATGTAGTTTCTAAAGAGATCTCATTCAATTATTGGCCACTGAAGGAAAACCAGTAATAAAAATATCAGAGAACATGTTAGGAATAGAAGAATAATATGGCACTCAGAGGGCATCTTGTTCTGGCCCTGGTCATTGTGGGGGGCTATGCAGGAATTCATTTCCGTGTAAGATGAGCAGACGACAGTCAAGCACAGATCAAGTTGCAGTGTTTACGAAGTGCAACGTCCTCCATGCAAATATCGCAAATTAGAGTTCGAGTACTTACCTCGTGAGAAATAGAAACCAAGCTGGGAGGGCGATTGCGTGCTCAGCGATTGCGTGCTCAGTTAATTACAGCGCGTTTGGACGCGTCCTGACGCTCTCTTGCTCTCCTACCATCATCATCTCGGCTTTCCTGCACTCAATGCCCTCGTCCTTTTCTGCGTCTGCGAGCTTCTCGTGTGTGTTGCCTTGTGCTGGAAGATGCCCTCGTTCTTGACCCGCTTGCTGTGACGTGCTGTCACTCTTGGTAACGCTCACACCCTGCAGGAGAGACTTTCAATTGGCTCGTCGCTGTCATGCGACGCGTCGTGGTGCCGTTGGGCACTTAAGGATGCAATGGAAGTGGGTGGGCAACTCGTTGGTTCATACTGAGGATGGAAGTGCTTTGACAACACGTTCGTGCTGTTCGCAAAACATTCAAGAGGTGTCTCGCTGGCCCATCTGCTTGACTGTGGTTCCCTTCCTTGTGTCGTTGGGCGACCGCAAGCTCCTCGCCTGGGTACGTGCCCTTGATCCACGTGTCCTTCGTTATCGGACCTCGACTTCGACAAAATTTTTGGGGTCCATCACGAGGACGGCGGCGCTTCCCCAAACGTCAATGACCTTGCTCTGCGGATCGGAGAGCCGGTGCAGTACTTTCAAAGTTGCAAGAATCGAAATGAGACAAACGACTCCTTATGAAATCCCGGATCTGAGTTGCTTGCTTTTGCTTTGCTTGAAGAAGTACATTTCCTATTGGGATTTTTTTATGCCTCGTAATTTTGCTCGTGCTTAGGAGGAAATACTTATTTTTACTGTGGACAGCGGGTTACTTTGCTCGGATCTTCTTGTTGTCTCTAGCTGGTAATCCGAGGAACTGGTTCGATCCTTGGCTCGTTTCATTCGCCGACTTGCAAGCCTGCATAATCTAAGATACCCGCTCGTCTTCCATGGCCTTACCATTTACTGTTCATTGCTAAAATGAACACATGGTAACACCATTCGCTCTCTCCCTATCTCCATTCGTTCGATAGTGATGTCCTTACTTTCTCACAAGAAATAATATAAAAAGGGTCTCAAGTACCCGTCATTTCACCATTCTCAGCGGACTCTTGTCTCCTGTGGAATATTTGTGAATCCCCTCCGCAATTTTCACAATGTCTCTTCTCGAACATGCGCGATCCGCCTCACCAGAATCCTCTTCATCTTCACCATCTTCACATTTTACTGAATTATCAGCATCGACGACGCATACAGAGGAAATTCCTCCGCTATTGGGGGAGGCGCGCCATCTCCTAGTCCTTTCGCCGCCGTGTGAGACTACAGCTGATTTAGCGGCGCTCCTGCACAGTCTCCAGCTGAGCGGAGGCTCTGCAGGCACAAGATCATACCTGCTACTTGCAATGGGCATTACGAAGGCTGCCAAGAATGAGTCCGAGCTCACCTTGTGTGAAGCCATTGGTGCTGTTGGGGCAGCTCTGGGTGACACGGACATGTTCAATACTTGGACGCTCAATAGTAAGCACAGATATCCATCTCCAGCACTGTCGTTACTCATGTGAACCCAGAAGTGACTGGATATTTTGAATCTGCTAGTGCAGAGGAAACCGTGCTCGTTGACATTCACGAGCGGACAATCTCGTCTTCGAAACTTACCTACAACGATGCACTCAACGCCATCGCTTCGTCGAGCCTGCATCTTATCCACAATATGCCTGTCAAGGATGGAGAGCTCTATTTACTTGAACGCGCGTCATTCTCCTTCCCTTCCCTTACACCTCTCTCCACGAGTGCAGGAAAGGTCAACCCCTTCGGACCACCGACTCGCGAGGAGTGGCGCACTCTCTGGTCGGCTTGGGACCTTGTAACGCTCAGGATGATCCCTCCCGAAATGCTACATCAGAAACCCATCGACCTGCGCCATAAGTGCTTATTTTATATTGGACATATACCCACGTGAGTCTTTCTCCATTGCCAAGCCACTCGGTTTCGTTGACAGAAGGGAAGTTTCTTGAATATATTGATGTCGCATTTGTTCAAAGAGCCTTATACAGAACCTAGGAGCTATACCCAGATTTTTGAGGTCAGATAATATGCAATGTTTATCATTTCTTTACTAAACTCGAGCTTCAGCGTGGTATTGATCCTCATGTCGATGATCCGGATTACTGCCATGTACGTTTCCCTAATCATATTTGGTCATTACTGGTTGATTTTTGGCATTTATTCTACCCCCCTTAGTCGCACTCTGAAGTACCAGAAGCTGATGAAGACTGGCCAGTCCTTCACGACATTTATGCATATCGCGACCGTATCCGAGACCGTCTGATGAAGATCTATGACGACTTTGATTCTGGGAAACGGAAGCTCACTCGAAGTGTAGCTCGCGTGTTGCAAATGACACTCGAGCACGAGGGATTCCACATTGAGGTAAGTTTATATTATTTGCAAACACGTAATGGCACGATTGTTCTGACATTATGCATATAAGACGCTTTTGTACATGCTCGTCCAGCGTGCCGGTTCCGGAACACTTCCTCCGCCGGGATTCACGACTCCACCTTGGACTGCCCTCGCTGAGCAATGGGCATGCATTCCCGCACCTTCTACGTCCTCGGTCACGCTTGGTCCAGCAGTCCTTGTGATGGGACACGATGACGCAGAATCAGACGATCTCCTTCCTGAGTTGGAAGACGATGTGCAAGAGCATGAATTCGGTTGGGATAATGAATCTCCGCGTCGCGAGGTGCAGGTGGGACGTTTCCGAGTGGATTGGAGGCCTATCACAAACGGCGAGTACTTTGCGTTTTGGGAGCAGTCCAGAACGGCAGACGACATTCCTGGTAGTTGGGTCGAGAACAATGGACAAATTCTGGTAATTCCTTTCCCTTTATTACTCACGAATATGCTAAATCAATGTACCAGGTCCGAACGTTGTACAGCCCTATTCCGATGTCAATAGCGGAACACTGGCCTGTCCTCGCATCGTACGACCAGCTCCATGCCTACGCAAAGTCAAAAGGCGGACGTATCCCCACCGAACCTGAGTTACGTCTATTCCTGGACACTTATCAAGTCGGCTTTGATCAAGGCGCGAATGTGGGATTCAGGAATTGGCATCCCGTCCCGTAAGCCCTTCCGTGCTTCTCTATATCGTCCTTTACTTACACAGCAGTAGAGCAACTGCTGGTTGCGGAAATGGTGCTGGTTCGAACGGTGGAGTCTGGGAATGGACATCTACTACGTTTGACACACATCTTGGACTCTCGCCGACGAAACACTTCCCAGGTTACTCGACTGACTTCTTCGACGGCAAGCATCAGGTCGTGGTATGTGTCCTGCTCTTCTGTTCCCAATCTCCCGTCTTGACTAACATCCTACTTTAGCTTGGTGCTTCCTATGCAACCATCCCGAGGCTTGCTGGAAGGCGAACCGTGCGCAACTTCTACCAGCACAATTATCCTTACGCTTGGGTCGCTGCACGAGTTGCGTATGATGTTTAATCTTTTCGTTAATTCGTGTTATGTCTCTTCATAATTTCATCGATCATTCGTTTGGTCTGTACTTATATAAATAATATCAATACAAATCTCAATAACGAATTTTCTGGGAATGAATAATCCTAGTAAGTTCCACTATGCAAGTCACCAGCTGAATAGGAGAGCTTTTGCTTTGGTCGAGGTTGTTTCACTCCAGCCACTCTTTGACCACCTCATCGCCAATTCCAACAAATTCAATTCCAGTCTCTTTACACTCTGCTTCAACTCTCCGTGTTGCGTCGTCTCCTCCAACAGCTCGAACGGCATCCCCAATAATCTTCACACCAAATCCAGCCTTTCTAGCATCCAGAGCTGTTGCACGGACGCAATAATCCGTCGCGAGGCCGACGACGAAAAGGGTGTTAATCCCACGTTTACGAAATTCGGAAGTGAGGTGAGTGGAAGCGGGTGAAACACCGCGGTTGCACGCGAATGCTGAGTATTGCTCGACGAGCGGGTCCGTTCCCTTGATTGTGACTTCCAGTCAGTATATATTCAAGTGAATACATCGATCCTTTATCTTGCTTTTTGGAAGACCTGGCCCCTGTCGGAGTTAAACCATGGTTGTAAAGACTCGAGTATGCTTTCTTCAATCTCGGCTCCGCGGGTTCCTTGAACCTTCAAGTGAAGGAGGTTTAACCAACCACAGAAAGAAAGAGGTTAAAAGATATCGTACGCAATGATCTGGCCACATTACTTGAGGAATCATTGACGGAACGCCTTCGGTTGCATACGGATAGACTACATCAATTTGTGAGAACAACTCTTTATTGTGCGTGCTTGCGCTAAATTTGCATCAATCACGCCTTCGTATTGTAGAAGCTTAGACCACGCTCACAAGGAGACGTGTCCTGTTGGATGATAATCCTGTAGACCGGAGTCAGACAAGTATCACGTTCGTCCAGTTAACAAGGCATATAGTTACTTGACTCGCAGCAACATAACTCCACTTTCCACTAAGTAAATGGTTAATGGCATGTAGGACATGATCGCCGTCTGTAACTCCAAGCGATCCGCCTGGCAGGAAGTCGCTGATAGGTTTCGGATAAGCCTTGACTAAACAAAAAGAATGGTGTGGATCTGACTATTGCACATCTACGACAATAAGAGCAGGTGCCACTGCCATTATCTCTGGGTGTTAGAAAATAAAAGGAGAGTAAGACCGTTTCAGATTGATTTGGACACAGCTGGCTGGAAGCTAGGAGCTAAGGTAAAGTGCTCAGTCTCAGAGTCGGAACTGGACGTGATAACATTGGATCACGCTACTGAAGCGCGTCAAGTTGAGGCGGAGCTTGAAAACTTAGAATTTACTGATTCGCGCTTCCATTGGTCACACAGTAAGACAGAGCATATGTGTTCACAACGACGTGGATAAACAGAACCGACCCAATACTTCCACATTATTGAAGTGTTATACCAATGAGCGATGTGTAGAACGTGACTATGTTCCCAAACCGTTGACAATGTCAGTCGAATTTAATCTGAAGGAAATGTTGTCATTTAGCGAAACTATAGTTCTGAGTAGAGTGTAAATGTCCTACACAAATCCGTCTAACTTGGCGTTAAACAGGACCATATCAAAGGCATAGGAAGGCGAACTCGTTGCAGTAGCATCCTGAATTAGGATACTATCGTAACCCTGTTTTTGAATCAGTCGTAAGTAGATATATACGCAACTAACATGAGACAAGATACCTTATAGAACGCATCAATGAATGTGCCAAAGACACATTGGTCGGCATTTACTCCGGAGATGAAGAGCGTCGTGATCAAATTATCTTCGAGGTATTGACCCATGGGTGTCTGTGCACCCCACAAACCGCTCAGACGATCTTGCAGTCCGAAATCGTTCAGCATGAAAAAAGTATAATGTCAAAAGTAGTACTTACTCTTAGGAAAGTAAAAGTCTGTGCCCGAATCAATCCCTTCGCTTGCGAGATCAAATAACGGACCGTATTGCTGACAAGATGGATAAAATATTATTTTTCTCAACTTATAAGATATGCATACCTGCGCATTGAATTCTCCTCGCATAAGTTTCCTACCGTAGTCGGTCCCATTGAAAACACCCATTTCACTACCAAATGACGTGCTCGAATCTTTCGGTGAGGTTGCGAATCCGAATTTCAATCCAGGTGGCATTGTTAATAGATCGTATTCAGAGAGTCCCCACTGCAAAATAATATTAAATGGCTTGTTCAATGGGTTCAAGTTAAAGAACGCACTTGGCACCAAATTATTTTGACACCGGCAGAACGGAATGCTCGGACTGCATCAATAGTTGGTTGGACAGCTGCCAGACCAGCTGGGAACGTGGTAAATGCCGGGTTAAGGAAGAAATCTATTGTGGATAATTAGAAATCAAGTACTTAGTCAATGGGGAGCATGAGATTCCGCGGAACCCACTTTGCATATCAACAATGACCATTGCAGAACGCGCAAGCGAGATCGTTATATTTGGGGTGCTTGCTGATAGTGTCTTTGATCCAGTCGAGTTGCCACGCGTGAGGTCGAAGTTGCTTGTACCATCTGTTAACCAATAATTGTAAAAATTACCGAAATTCGCCTCCGTGGAATTGTCAGCACGAAGAAACATCTCTGAAGACATCCTCGCAGCACCAGTAAGTACTGCCAGGGCACAAAGGATGAACGTGAAGAGAATACGCATGATGGTGGCGAGTCAGCATCCAGAGGTGTTGTAACCATTTACTTATACCGCTGGCGGCACACTCGTTATCGCTCAGCCAGTGTAGGAATTCATGTAAAAGATGCGGCAGACCGGAACGAGGTGGGACCACGAGACCTTCAATGTCGTCGGAAAACATACATTTCGAAGATATCTCGTCTAAGTCCTAAGCTTCGAAAATTTGGAAGCACGACCCATACATCCTGCGCTACTCTGTTGTTATCTTTTGTTCGACAAGGTCAGGCTTTACAAATATCTGATTATATTTCCTTTACCTTTCCTCCTTATGCTTATAATCGTGGAACTGATAAACGTCATAAATATTGCTGAGCAATCATCAACCTGGGGAAGAGACTCAAGAGAGAGTGAAAGGAATCACTAGAACAGTTGACTGAAGGTAATTCCAATTGAACAGGTGCTTTGAGTGGCAAATGTGTAGGAATAAGTGACTTCCTATCTTCTATCATGATAGCTTGTCGGTGCCGGTTGTCCCTATTCATGTTGTGAAGCAGAGCGGCCCGTGGTCGACTTTGTCAGCGTTTCTGTTCTCACGATTGACATGGTACATTTGAATTTTGGATTACTGGACGTATTGAAAATAGAGACTGTTTCCCTGAATCAACCGAAAATTCTGATCCACTTGCGGCTCTCAAACAAGTTGGAATTTCAAATGGATTTTATTTGTTCAGATTCAAAGATATGGAAGTACACATAGGTTACTGTCAATGTCAGGATGTATGCAATATCAATATACATCGTAACATCTATTCAATGGTCCAGATCCAGGTTCCAAAATGAAGTTCCACTACTCTGTTACACAAGAGATAGTAATTTGCTTGCATTTGGACGCACGCAAGCATAAATTATTGCAATTGTCAAGGTATACTTAATACTGTACATTACGAAGAATAGGAATCTGTCCAAGGTATTTAATAATCCTAGCTCAACATTTCTACAAATGTGAAAGAAATAAGAATAACGTCCATCCATACCGATTTACTTGAAACGAGAAGCACAGAAAGAAAGGGGCTAAAAATACGACAAGCGCGTACGCGTCGAATGCAGCTCAAAGCTTGATGAGAGGTGATTAAAAGAAATGAAAAAAAGAATGATGTTTATGCAGCATAATAAGCAGTGTTGTTTCCGTAAGAGTGCTGTTTATCAGCATAAGGGTAAGAGACGGATGGGTGCATGAATGCTTCGGAGCTGTCACGTCGCGGAACTTCAGTGTAAGTCTTCATAGACGACAAGCGCCACTGTTCTTCCTTCTCTTCTTGCAGTTGTAGGACGTAACGTGAGACAATAATGCACTCGTCTGAATAATTTCAAATTTTAAAATTTTTGTCAGAAAGAGAAAGGAAGAGGAAAGACATGGCGGAGAATACGTACAAAGTTGCACCGCCCAGTTGAAAACAATGAACCCAAGCATCGTCCATTTATACCGATCCACGTGGTTACAGAAGTTGATGACGTCCTGGTCTGTTGAGCCATTGATGCAGCTATCGATGATTTTCTGTTTATCCGAGATGAAGAGGAGGACGATGCTTGCTATCCCGGCGATAATGTTGATACCCAATAGCCAATTGAGCGTCGAGGAGAAGACACGGACGAGATTGAGTCGACGTAGGATGGAGCCAATAAAGCTGTGAGGGGGAACATGTTGTGAGCAACGTGCGTCTTTGGATAAGCACGCTGTAAGAAGACGTGGACGTACCCAAGGAGTGAGGCAAGGAACAATAACGTCATTATTACAGCCGTGACGATGGCCACGATTTTGTACTTCTCCACATCATACCCTAGACCCGCGAGGCCCGTTAGTAACCCAAGCTACCAAGTGCAGAAAAGGGAGGGGATAAAGTGAAAGAGGGACTTACGACCAGTAATGATAACATAGTAACTCCCTGCAGCAACTGCTCCAGACGAGAAAAGTTGGAGGGACGATAGGATAAAGACTCCGAATCGGACAGGAAGACAACAACAAAACTTGTGTGACTTGACTCCGTAGGCCATTTTCACGCGTTGATTTCAGAGATGACGGAATAGAAAATAACACTCGAGGAGAATGTCTTGAAGGCTTTGGGCACTCGTATGAAGTGCGGGTGTAGAGGAAGAAGGAAACAGAAGGCGGGGAACGGTAACCACTCACCGTCCAATACCCTCTCTTTATATCACACCAAGAAGAAGAACGCAGCCTAGCGCAGCAGCATGCACAGACACAAGGCGCAAAATGCGTGCACCAAATTATCCAGTAATTACAGCATCAGCCCTCGGACATCAATATGGCGATGAGCGGCTAAGATTCCAAAACCTATCAACCACGGCAAGCGAAAAATCGAGGAGCGAATCCCATTCCTACGGGGGCTGTGCTCCGTTTGTCGGGAGAGGCTCTTCCTGCACAGCTTTGATGCACCGGAGTGCATTTGTGCGTCATTTTTTAGCTATCTTCTTGGCTTCTGTAATCATGCTGTGTAGAATCGAATAGTACGCAGGTCTCGGAAGTGGTTCAAATGTTGCTCAAATGTTGTTGTCACAGTTCGTACATGAACTTGATGAAGGACATGAAGCAAGAACCCGCGAATCACTCAAGGATCTTCGCGTGGCACTAAAATAGAACAAAACAGAGTCAAACAAGCCGAAATTCAAATGCGGGGAAGAAAGGCCTTCGAATTTCGCAGACCAAGCCAATCCTGAGCTCGTCCTTACTAAAACAAAAACGAGTGACATATCCGACATACGCACTTTGCAGGGTCGTATGTTCAGTATATCGATGGAAAAATTTACTTACAGACAGTAATTAAACTTCTGTCCATGTTAGTTGGACGCCTTCATAATACTAGTAGCGTCCACAGATTGCCAGAAAATAAACTAACCGAGTGTTCTATCGTATATACATGTACATACATATAGGGCATGATACTCATCACGTTATATCAACGAAAACAATCCATATATGTCTTGTACATACACGTATGTTTTTTCTCTACCAAGCTGTGCAGACCGCAGTTTTTCCAAGCCTTCGAAGCCACGTCCCCACCTGCGCGCCCAGTGTTCCGCTCGCTGCACCGCTTAAGCGAACCGAAGACATGGCACAGCATCCTTGCAATTTAGCGCGGATCAACTGGTCGACCCAATGTGAATCCAGTTTTGTCGGGAATACGGGGCGAGAATAATCACGCTGGTTAAAATACAGTATTATCACAGGAGGCAGATTCCCATTCTGTCGCCCTAGGAATTTATTACAAAATTCAAAAGCTCTCACCTGATTGGCAAAAAAAAAAAAGAAAATACATTCTGAAACAAATTTTCCAGACCTCAGAATCGGTTTTTGCCTCTGGTGAATTATTATTAGAGAAGGAAGAAGAATTGTGAAATAGTATAATGTAGACTTGTAGACCTTTATCTTTATCCATCCTACTTACACACACAGCACAAGGCATGTTTATAAGGTCTGCATCATAGTCCCTGTACAAAGCTGCAAAAACACCGAAAACAAATAGACACGGAAAGATATGTACTCCGAAACAACCAAGTCAAACCCGAAGGCGAAGACGAGAGAACAAGAAACAAAAGGTAATATTACAATCAAATAAATAAACAAACAAACGAGATTTTTCCTTTTACCTGCCTACGTACTTGAACGCTTCACCACGCTTCAGCCCACCTCTACAGCCTTCTCCTCACCCTCTACACTCGCAGTAGTAACACCACCATCCACAACAACACTAGTACTAGCACTCGTCCTCTTACTCTCACTCTTACTCTCCCTCTCCTCTCCTTCTTCCTCAGCGCCTGCTCCACTCGCACCTGCATTAACATCCTCAACGTCATTTCCAACTTCAACAACATCGTTCTGAACACCTTTAACAGCTCTAACGAACGCAACGACTTTCTCCAAGTCCTTACCAAGTCCTTCGCTATTAGCAGTAGCGGAGGAGGAGGTGGAGATGGAAGAAGAGGAGGAAGAGCGTTCAACTCCACCAGAGACGTCCACAGCCCACGGCTTCACACGCTCGATGGCAAGGGAGACGTTAGAGGGTGTTAAGCCGCCTGCGAGGATTATCGGGAGTCTTCCCCTTCCAATTCCTCGCAATTTCCCTGTCTCTGTCTCTGATTTCGGAGACACTGAGGTATCCGGCTGGGTTTGAGATTGCGTGGAAGAAGGAGGATGGGTAGGCGTGGGTGTCGTAGGTGAGGACAAAGTGGTTGAAGAAGTGGTTGTAGGGGGTGGGGAGACGAGTCCGTTTGTCGTATTACTGATTCCATTCGCATTCACATTCGGTTCTCCGTTGGCTCGAGGTGCGGAAATTGAGGGAACAGAAGGAGAAGATGAAGAGGAAAGAGTAGGGAAAGGCGAGAATGGTGAAGGTCCCACTTCACCAGCCTCAACGACTCTCCTCGCAAGCTCCCAATCAACAACCTTCCCACTCCCTCCACTCTTCCCATCTTCTCTCATCGCATCAAGTAACACGAATTGATGCAATCCCGGTCGAGTTATCCCTTCCACACCGCTCACAGTACTCCCATCTCCAACAGAAGAGGAGACGTGGAACGCGCGAATGACAGGAACGGGTAACTGCGTAGACCAATGGAGCGGTTCCGTCCCGTGTAGTTGTACGATGTCAAGTTGCACGGAGGCGATGACGGAGAGTATGTATGATAATGGTTGGTCCTGGAAGACACCTACAAGTTGAGGTCTCGCATGTCCTGCACGCAGTGTCTTTGCCAACCAATTCGCATGTGTCGCGAACCACGGTAAATTCTTCTCCGTCTGCGATGCATCTTTACTTTCTTTTGTAGACGTAGCTTCAGCAGATACAATAGGGATCTCCGCCTCCGCCTGTGTCCGTCTCTCCCGAATTGCATGTGCGATCCGACACGCTACGTCCAACGCGATCCGTCGTTTACTCGTAGGTACGAAATTGAGTCCGAGCATGTCTGCTCCTGCTTGTGCTGCAGTGAGCGCTTCGTCAACTGTTCGGATTCCACAGATCTTCACAAGTGGTGGTCCTTCTTCTTCCTCTTCTCCTCCCTCGGTTTCTTCGGGAACGGACCAACCGAGTAAGTTACGAATGAACGTCTTGGTATCTTGTGCACGCATTAACGCTTCACCGATAAGTACAGCTTGCACTTCCACGCCTTGCTCAGCATAGGCTTTCACATCTTCCGATTTCGAGATGCCGCTCAAGGCACATAAGATAACCTCTCCTTCCTTTTGTTTTTCACGTACCAAACTCGCGAGTCGACTCGTCGTTCCCATATCTACCTCGAAACTATGCAAGTTTCTGTTATTCACGCCTATAACCTTCGCACCTAGCTCCAGTGCAGCGATCATCTCCTTATCGTTGTTCACTTCCACCAATGGCTCCATTCCAAGGCGTCTTGAGTGGGTATAGAGCGCTTTGAGACGGTGAATAGGGAGAAGGGCAACGATGAGGAGGATCGTATCCGCTCCATGTAGACGCGCTTCGGCAATTTGATATTCGTCAACGATGAAATCTTTTCGTAAGACTGCAGGTCTGTTAGGTAAGGTATCGATTGCTTGACGAGCGAGACGCATGTCGAGTAGAGATCCCTTGAACCAATGTGGTTCTGTTAAGACGGACACAACAGAAGCACCTGCGAGTGCGTAGTCCAATGCTTGTTGCGCCGCGTTCGCGCGAAGTGCGATGGGCCCTTTGGAAGGTGAGGCGCGTTTGATCTCTGCCATGAGTGCAGGAGAGTTTTCGGGTCCTGTTGTGCGGAGACGTTCGACGAGGTTAATTGCTGGAGGAGATAGGTTCATAGCAAGTAAGGTCTCGAGGTCTTCCATTGACGTTCCTGGTGTGTTCTTAGCCTCTTCGATGTCTTTCAAACGCTGTACGTGGATCTTTTCGAGGATCGTTGGCAGCTTGTTACTGGATTTTTGCTGCGCAGGCGTCATCCCGTTCGAAGCAGTCGGCCCGTCAATCGGGAATGGAGGGAGGGACAAGTCGGTTACACGAGCGGAAGGGTTCTCTTCCCACGTCCCGCCGCGCAAGTTGAGGAAATTTCGTAGGAGAGTATCACCCTCCTCCGAAAGCACGCTCTCCGGGTGGTACTGTACCGCTTCAATTGAGTATTGCCTGTGACGAACGCCCATGATGACACCGCTCTCCTCTGTAGCAGCTGTGATAGCGAGGACATCAGGAACAGTCCTGACGGATGCACTGAGTGAATGGTAGCGCGTTGATTGGAATGATTGTGGGAGACCGTTAAAGATACCGCGTCCGTCGTGACGGATGGGAGAAAGCTTGCCGTGCTTGATTTCGCCTGCGTATCTGTAAACACCATAAGTTCAGTATATGCATGTTTAAATAATCAAAAAGGTATTACCCAATTTCACCTCCAAACACATCCACGATAGCTTCCAAACCCATGCACACGCCCAAAATAGGTACCTTGCCCATAAAGTACCGTACCGCTTCGCGCGAGATGCCTGAGTCGGTGCGCGGATGTCCAGGGCCGGGCGATATGATGAGACGTTTAATATCAAGGCGAGGTAGGGCCGCGACATCGATGGCATCGTTGCGGATGACAGTGACATCTATGCCGAGCAGAGAGAGAGACTGGTAGAGGTTCCAGGTAAAGGAGTCGAAATTATCGATCACAAGGCACTCAATGGGCCGGCGCAGTGACTCTGGTAGGGATACCATTGTGGCTCAGAGGCAGGGAAGACGAGACGAGGAAGACGCAAAAAGCGGACGCGGTAACGGTACTTGTACAAGTCAGACCGGCTGTGCGCCGTCAGATGTCCGACGATGTCGAGCCTTCACGCGTGATGAGCAGTGGGTTTCGCGTGGAATAAATCGCCGAATTTTTTGATGCTGGGTATGGGTATATGCTATGTGCCGAGTCTAGAGTACGAGTGGAAACTAGTTTTCCACAGGTCATTTTGCTGGGCCTCTGGAGGCGTGGTAAACCTCGCGTGGACAACACTTAGTCAGTATATTAGTAATATCATTCTAATGTTCCAAAAAGGAAATTTTTAAGAATTTTGTGCTGTACCTCTATTGAGCTGAAAATTTAGGTGTAATATTAATTTCAGACATTGGTTATACTGCTCAGAGCAATTATATTGTGTTTTATAGTCTACTAGTGTTGAAACCTATATAATAAATAGATATATCTAAGAGAAATAAAAAGAAAGAGGTAACCAGTTATATTGACCAGGCTTTATTATTGTTCAAAATCTGTAAATCATCCAAAGAGGTACTAGAAATATTGTCCACATCTATCACTTGTACCTCTCTAGTTTTATCAGAGTATGCTCCTTCAAATGAAGGAGTATCTGAAAGAATGTCAGGCAAAGTAGAAGATGTTGACCTAATAAAATGACAGACATAGAGTATATGCACTCTCAAACTATCTATTTTCCTTGCTTTTCGTCAGGTTGAGGCATTTTTTCTTAATTTATCTACTGACATAATATTATGTATGACTAATACATTTGAGTTTTCCACAGGCCAATTTCCGGCAACCCTTGTGGTAGTGAGGTTTACCTCGTGGGAAACCTCTGTGGTAATCCTCACTGTGGGAAACTAGGGAGTTTCCACTCGTACACTAGTGCCGACAACGAGACGAGGACGAAATGAGGTGTGAGGATCAGGGACTGGTGCGGTAACCAACTGCGCTTACCGCGTACCAACCGTGCATTGACTTTACCGCGGTACAAATTTCTCACGGTAACCGCGGTAAACTGTGATAGCTCGCGTCTGCCAAACGACCTACTGAAAATCCGCTGTCTTTCTTTTAAAATACTAATTTTTAATGTAGATTCACTCCAGACATAGATACATTTTAAAATAAATGATATTACAGTTAATTCTATCGTCATTATGGTATCAAAAATAAACAATCTACCAAGAATTTGAAGTATTAGGCGAATATACAGAATAAATTATGTAGAAACTGCTATGCTAATTCAAACCATTTTTGATGAAATAATATCAATTGCATCTTGAACATTAGAAAAAAGAGGAGTACCATCCCATGAACCAACTGCCATCTGAGCTGCTAAGGTATCTGATGCCATATTGTGAAGAATATGGCTGAGCCATTATAGGAGTATAGACTTGGTATAGTAAAGGAGTGACTGGAAAATGACTTGGACAATGAGTGAATTAAGTTGGGTACTGTATATTATGACACGCGCTATCAATGTATCATACACATCAACCACGGTAAACGTGGGAATTTCTAACCACGGTACGGTAACCGTGCGAATTTTCTTACCGCCAGTTGAACTGCAGTTAGGGCTCACCATACTGGTCCCTAGCACATCAGGCATTTCACAATTTCTTGCCTTAAAAAATAACTTACATAATGTTAAATATAATTCATAATTTAATTTACCATTTTTGGTTGATAGAAATTGTAAACAACATTTAAAAATTTCTTTAGACAAAAACTATAAATTAATTTTGGCATATCTTTATTTGTGAAATCTTGAAATAAATGAGAATAATTATTTAAAACATAATTTGAAGTTTCTTTTAAAACAAAATTATAAATTTTCTTTCAAATTTTAAGACAAAAAACATTTAGAATTTCATTTATAATATTAAATCTTATAAAATATTAAAAGAAATTTAAAATTTTACCCAGAGAAGAAATGCCAAAAAAAATTTAAAATTATTTCAAAGCAGGCAGTCAGTGGGCAATCAGTGGGCAATCAATGGGCAAGCAATAGCTGTCCTCAATTCACTTGTAAGGGAGACTTGTAGCTTGGTACAGGGAAAAGAACCAACACTCTAAAACCTTAACTCCTGCCTTATGTAGTTCCCTCTGTGCAAGTCTGTACAATTTTGCACAAGTACTCTCAAGTGCTTGTGCAGACTTGCAAAGTGTCAGAGTTTAAAATAAACAAAGAATTCCCTCACCAAAACCAATGTAAATTATGATTAGTGTGATAGAACACTGTAAATAACACAGTCCT